CCGCCAGCAGGGCGACAACACACACAGCGGGGCAGCGGGCTTTCGGAGATCAGAGGACGTGGGAAGTATTTTCTGATTATAATTTCTGATTAAAAAGAAGCACATGTCATTGTGTCGAAGAAAGCCCTCCGGTTCCATGCATGCTTTATCGGCTATGTGACACTTCGTGCTTTCCACTGAAGGTCTGTTCCTGGCTGCCTCTTACTTATCATCCTCGTAGGGGCCCAAGAGAACAGGGCTGGGCTGTCTGTACCTCACTGCATTTCCACTGCCTAGTATATAGTAGGTGCCCTATACACATTTGTTAAGTAAGAAAAGAATTATATATATATATATATATATATATATATAATATGTAAACATCTTATATATATGAAAAGAATTTTATGCATATAAAATACTTCATGGGGACTTCCCTGGTGGTCCAGTGGTTAAGACTTCATGCTCCCAGCACAGGGTGCATGGGTTTGATCCCTGATTGGGGAACTAAGATCCCGCATGCCACGTGCTGCTGCCAAAAATAAAAAGATAAAATATTTTATGGCGTCAGTATCATGCTTATGCTTATATATGGTTGCATATACTGGTGTTCCCCATGACTTGGTTTTTTGTTTGCTTGTTTTTGGCCATGATGCACAGATTGTGGGATCTCAGATCCCAGACCAGGGATTGAACGTGGGCCCTCAGCAGAGAAAGCATGGTGTCCTAACTTCTGGATTGGCAGGGAATTCTCTATGACTTGTTTTTTTTTTGAAGTACTTTTCCTGTCATTTAAGTCTTTAAGAGCATTCTTTTAAACAGCTGTATAGTGTTCCATGACATTGCTTTTACATTGTCTGCACTTTATTTCACCCCACCCCTCCTAATATTTTTTAAATAGAATCTGTAGGACTTAAGCCAGGAAGTAGATCGTAAAAGGAATGTAAAGACTTTCCTGGTGGAAAGACGGGGCAAAGACAGTGGGGAGTGGGGGGGAATGTGAGTAAAATCTTACAAGTGTTGAATTTAGGAGCAGTTTTTAGAGAGCCAGGCGGACAGCCTGGGCCCAGGAATGTGTTGTTAAACTGACTTTCAAATTAAAAAAAAAAATCTGTGTTTATTTGCTGATTTCCATGGCACAAATTCTCCTACCATGGTTGATTTAAGTTCCAGATAAGGCATCGTTGAACACAGGGTTGGAAAGGCATGGGCGTGGCCGGCTCTGAGGAGCCAGCAGAAGCAGCCTCCAGCACCCCCTGCCCAAGCTGAAGCCTGATCCCCTCTAAGAGGAGGAACCCTCTCTTACTCTGTGTCTGTGAGCCTCCCTGGGCCCCAGGTTCAGCATCTCAGATGCAAGGGTGGGACTCAGCCAGTCCTGGGCAGTGGGGCCCACCGGGGGTGCAGGAGCCCAACCTTCCGATCTCACTATCAGATTTCTCAGCTGGGATGCAAACCCTCAGATTCCCCCAGCTCAGCAACCCGGAGCTGAATCCACACTTCAGTGGATTGTGTAGATTGTGTGACCACAGTCCACTGAAGGGTGGCCATTCCATCCATCCCTGAAATTCAGGGCTAGGCCTGGCACTCCACCCTAGCCATGTCCTTAGGACCCAGCCTCAGAGCTCAGTCACCCCCCTCTCAGTGGGGCTCAATGTCAGGCACAGTGGTGGGATCGGGAGTTTCCATAATCGTCATGATACTTATGAGTACCTACTGTATGCCAGGCTGAGCTGAATGTTTGATGTTTAATCATCCTATCCTCACACCCAGCCTATGAGGTAGGCTCTAGTATTAGTCCCAAATTCCAGGTGAGAAAACTGAGGCAGTGAGAGGGTAACTCACTTGCTCAAGAGGATCCAGCTTATAAGTGTAGATGCCAGGATTCAGCCCCAGGTTGGCTGAATGTTAAAACCTCTGCTCTTAAACGCTAAGCTCAGGGGACTTCCCTGGTAGCCCAGTGGTTAAGAATCTGCCTTCCAATGCAGGGGACCCGGGTTCCATCCCTGGTCCAGGAACTAAGACTTTACCTGCCGCAGGGTAATTAAGCTAACGGTCCATAACCACTGAGTCCATGTACTCTGGAGCCTACGGGCTGAAACAAAAGATCCCACGAGGGGCAACTAAGGCTCAACACACCAAAAATAAACAAATATTAGAAAATATCCTCCTGCTTGGCTTTATGAAGCACCTGCTGTGTGCATCCCATGGGCGCTAGACTATGTAGGGAGTTGGCAAGAATGATTATTGGTTTGTCTTGAAAATGGTCGGGGGAAGGGGAAGTGGCTAATCTTTTTCTGAGCACCTGCTGTGTACCAGGAATGATACCAAGTGCCTTACACAGCCAACTTGATTAGCTGTACAGCAATCTCGTGAGAAAGGTGAGACCCTTCCCACATGACAGCCCAGGTTTGGGCACTCAGGAGCCTGCCCTCTTCTCTTAAGTGGCCTATAGCAGGTCACACTCCTTCTCTGGGCCACCGTTCCCCCTCTGGTTCCTTGACAGGAGCTGTCCTAGGAGACTTCAAACCGTCTGCCAGTTTCAGATCAAATTTCTCAGAACAACAGGAAGTGGCCAGTCCATTTGGAAAGTATGGGGATTGTGGCTACAGCTCCAGGTAAGTGGCAGGGTCAGATGCCGGATACTGGACAGGTGACAGAGTTACCTCCCCAGAGGCCTGGCTGGCACAGTCCACAGCCTTTGTAAGCACCCCCCAACCCGGGATCCTGGAGATGAGGGGGATTTGAGAATGTGAGTCCCTGTTCAGTTCTGGAAGATGAGTTGAGATGGCTGGTGGTGGGTTGGCTGGCATCTCAGGTGGCCCCTAGGGCCACCTTATGTTCCATCAAGAGTCCCTGGGGGCCAGATACCCTGAGATCTCTTTTTCAGAAGAAAAAGTTTCCTGTGTAAGCTCCCACTTAGGTGAGGAAGGTGGGGAGAGGCAGGACACCTGTCTTGAAGTAGCAGTCATATGAAAAGTACCATTTTCCCCTAGTGAGGATCTGGGGTGACTGATAAAAATTACAGGAGGGCTTTAACTACTCCCTTGGGGATACTACTGCTCTGAATTCAACCCTGCATCACCCCTCTGAAGGGTGCTGCAATACTTTTAAGCTTTGGGGGTCAGCTCTACTGGGCCCATTTCACAGATAGGATAACTGAGGCTCAGTCTTTGGAAGTTGGAGGACTTACCAGACAGTGGCCAGCCAGGGAGAGAATTCCAGGGATGTGAATTCCTCACCAGCCTGGCTGGGGTGCTGGGTGGGAAGTCAGGCAGGGAGATAGGGAAGCAGGTCATGGACTGCTCCTGCGGCTGGGCAGGGCCCTCCCAGAATTGCCTGTCTGGGTGTTGCCTCCAGAATAACATAAATAGAGCCTACCCATTGGTGCCCAGCCCTGGGTTGAACTGATCAGGGTGAGTCAGACACATAGCCAGCCCTTCTGAGAACTCTTAGGCAGCTAAACAACAAACTCATGGGGAGAGACAGGGTGCATATGTTTCTGTTCTAGGACAGGTCCTTCCGGTTACATTATCTCATTTAATGAGATGTACAAAAAATGTACAAACCTGGAGCTGTGGGAGCAGAGAAAAAGGAAAGAAAACCCCTGCCTGGAATGAGAGGCCATCCTGGAAGACTTCCTAGAGGAGGTGATATTTGAGCTCTGGCTTGAAGGACAATAATAGCAAACACTTTCTGAAAAGTTTCTTATGTACCTGTTAGTGATCTGACACCTGTTCCTGCTTCCTTTCTACTGGCTTTATCTCATCTAATTCTCTCAAAACCCTGTGAAAGAGATACTATAATAACATAGGAACAGATGAGAAAGCCAAACCAAGGTACAGAAAAGTTAAGTGACTGGCCCAAGACCACACAGTTACCATGTGGCAGAGTCAGCATTCAGATTCGGAAAGGCAAATCAGTTACTGACTGTAAGATCTTCCACATGCTATTTAATCCCTCTGAACCTCAGTTTGCGTACCCGTACAATGGGGGTACCGGTACAACAGTAAGTAGCACATAGAATGATGGTGAGGAGGAAGATGAGATAATGCGTGTAAAACGCTTAGAACAGTGCCTGGCACATAGTAAGTGTTCAAACACTTGGGGAAGGTTTTTTATCGTCGCTGTGGCGGTTGTTATCTTCAACCCTCCCCTCCCCCTCCGGCCGCAGCTTCCTCTCCCGCAATGCCAGCCCGTGACGTGGAATCTGCCGCACGCACAGTCTGGATTTAATTGGGAACTAAAAGAGATGGAAGGGGATGTTCGAGGCCCCTCCCTCTCTGGACTCTGAAAGGACCCCCAGGGAGGGTGTGACTTTCTCTAGCGACGCCTCTCGGCGATCTCGGATACTGCTCCGGGACGGCGCGAGGAGCTCGGACCGAGGAGGCGGTGCGGGGATGGCAGGCAGGGGAGAGCCGGAGAGGTGTGATCGCGTTGGAAACAGGGCAGGCAGGGGACACACTATGTCTTCCGTGCCCAGTGCCAACTCAGCAGGAGCCTGCCGCCACGCCCATCATGGCCGTGGGCCGCTCCCCACCTGGCAGTCCCAACCTCCGCGAGCCCGGGGCTCCGCGGCGGGTGCGCTCCGGCACTCTTGGCTGGGGTGCCGGCAGAGGGCGCGCGAGTGGGGGCCCTGGAACGGGCGGGAGGGGGACCCTGCGGGAGGCGGGATTGCGGGGAGGGCCGTGGCCCACCCCCCCACCGCCCGCCCCGCCTGCCCACCAAGAGCGCCAGACTGGAAGGCAAGGGCTGGCGGTGTGTCCCCCCGCGCGCTCTGCCAGCTCGGCGCCCGGCTCCTACCTGTAGAGTCCGGGGAGGGAGGCGCCCCCTCCCCGGTCACTGTCCTCTCTCCTCCTTCGGAAACCTCCCGTCCAGCTACCCGCGCGTTTCGGGCAGCTGGCCCGGGGACTCCGAGAGAGGGTGCCAGGCTCGCTGCGGGTGACATGTAGACGCCCGCCCTGCCGCGGTCCAGCCTCGGAACCCGGGCGCCCTCCTGGTCGGAAAGTTTGGGGCTGGGCGCCATGGCCAAGAGCAGCTCCCTGAACGTCCGCGTCGTGGAGGGCCGGGCGCTGCCCGCCAAGGATGTGTGAGTACCCCCGGGGCCAGTCGGGGATGAGGGGCGTGCCGGGCATGGTTGGGGAGGGGGTCGCCCATTCGGCGTGCCAGGGCAGGTCGTGAAATGAGAGAGGGGTGCTGATCGGAGTCCTGGGGCTGATCCACCGTCGCGGGGCGAGAGGCCCCCTGCCCATCGTTGTCCTGGTGGAGGGGGCACTCAGATTTAGCAGATGCCCCGCCCAGTCGCCAGGAAGGGGGTGTCTTTGTTCCTGGGATATACTGAAGGGGGTCTTCCAGGGCCTCAGCTCTGGGGCTTACAGGATCAGATTCTGTCAGAGCCGCGGAGGTCATTTAGGGGTGGAGGGTTCCCTTCCTTAGTCCAGGCAGGTATTGGAGGTGGGGTTTCTCCAGGCCTGGGTGGGCACCGGTTCAGAGGACTCTGGGAGGGGCCCCAGAGGGCCTGGGATCCAGGCAGCCCCAGCATTTCTCTGCGAGCATCTGGTGTTTAGGTTTGCAGAGTGTCACCAGGTGGCCCGCTGGCCAGGCCTGGGGGAAACGGTTCCTCTGGACCCAGAGCCCCTAGCGCCTCAGCCAGCGCCCAGCCCCGTGGGGGGCCTTCCCTGATGCTAAGCTGCTTGGAGAGCCAACTTCCCCCTGCAGCCCCTCCCCAGCCAGGTGATGGGGTCCCCCGCAGTACCAGTCCTTGATTATGCTTCCCTTCGGGCTGAGTCAGCAGTTGCTGAATCAGTAGAATGGAGGGAGGGGCGTCCCCCTCCTGCTTTGGCCTGGAGCCCAGAAAGGGTACCTGGAACAGGTGTGGGATCCTTGACAGGACATTGACTGTATGACCTTGAACCTGATCCTCTCCAGGTCTGGATTTCCCATCTGGGCAAGGGGAACCCTGGACAGGGAGTCTGAAAGCCTCATGCAGTTGTGAGGGTAGAGAACCATTTAGGATTTACCCTGGGGCCAGGGGGAGCAGGAATGTGGATTCTGAGCCTTTGCACAGGCTGGGGCTTAGCTCTGCCCTAACATCTCCGGCTGGGGGTTCCAGTGAGGAGGGTATCCTGCCTTTGACTTCATGAACCTTCCCCTTCCCCAGTCCAGGAGCTGTGTCAACAGGGAAGCTCCTTAGAGCAGTTCTAGCTGCCCCCATCCTCATCAGTGACCCCCAAACAAGCTCCTGAAGAAAGCAGAGAGCTCGCTAGCTGTGCCAATGCAGTCTTGACAAGCCCCCTGTCTCCCCTCTTCTGAGATGCTCTTTCAGAGCCCCTGAGCATTAGCAATTCTGGGACTGTTGAGGCAGTGAGGTCACCTGGCAGCTGCTGGACGGTTGATTGGGAGACTTTTCAGAAACAGGTTTCCCTCTCTCGGTGCTCCAGCCCCTTCACCAGTCCTGGGTGAGGGCCATGAGGGAGGGGTGGATGTTGTCGTTGGACCCAGACACAGCTCGCAGGGCTCCCTCTGCTTCTCCTGGGGAGGGAGTTGACTCATACTTGGTCCCTGAGTCTCTCGGCTGCCTCTCTTCCCCCCAGTTCCCGGGCCAAGGTGAGCTCTAGGTGGGCCTCACCCCAGTACCAGGGTAGGGGGAAGTGACTAGGTCCCAGTGGGGATCCCGCCAGCCTGCCTCAGTTTCCCTAGCTGGTGGTGCCCTTCTCAGAGGGGCTCACTCAGAGCTTGCTGAGATCTCCATGCCCATGGGGACTCTTAGAGCGGGGTATGTCCTCTTTCCCCTCTCCTAAGGGAGAGGGCCCAGAATCTTCTTGAAGCCTCCCCAGATTTGAGAGGGCTCCAACCCTGGCTTGAGAGGAGGCCTCAGCTGATAATTTGAGTTATTTCTGTCACTCATAATAGCAGCTATATGTGGTCGAGGGCTTCCTATGGGCCAGGTCCTGTGCTTAACACTTCTTTGAGTCCTATTGGCATTACCATTTCATGAATGGGCAAACTCAGGCTCAGAAAGGTATAGTCACTTGCCCAGGGTCACACAGCTGGGATTTGAATACTGACTGCTTCCAGGCACCCACCTTGGCAGGTGGTATATATATCACCAACACAGGTGATATAAGAGATGTGGGTTTGATCCCTGGGTTGGGGAGATTCCCCTGGAGAAGGAAATGGCAGGCCACTCCAATATTCTTGCCTAGAGAATGCCATGGACAGAGGAACCTGGAGAGGGCTCCAGTCCATAGTCACAAAGATTTGGAGACGACTGAAGTGACTTAGCATGCACACACCAGGCAACAGGCAGACGGGGCAGGCGATGTCCCAGGGGCCTGCTTTCACACACTGGAGGTGGGGCAGGGGCCGTGGGAGAGGCCGAGGGTCTGGAGAGATCCAGGGTCTGGAGGGGCAGCCCCTCCCGCCACCGTAGCCCCTACCTGATAGGAGTCTGATAAGGCCTTTGTGCGTCAGAGTCCTGGAGCTGACGTGCTCGGCTCCCAGAGGGACCCAGGGGTCAGGCCGGGTGAACAGGAGGGGGCGTGGCTCCCAGCCCTTTTCTAGTGGATTCCAGCCTGTCTGTCCTACATCTGCTGTTGGGAAAATCAAGGGATGGGAGCTTGCCTAAAAGAGGCTCAGGGATAGAGGACGTGGAGAGAGACACGAGAAGGAGGGGGTGTCACCCAGCCATGGGCATCCGGAGGGGAAAACTGAGGCTCCCAGTGTTACTCAGCCCAATGGGTTTGGAATAGATCCAGATGGGTAAACTGAGGCCTGGGGCATTATGCCGAAGGGAGGCCAGAGAGGAACGTGTAGGCACAGGTTGCCGACCAGACTGAGATGTTCAGGGATGGAGAGCAGATGGGGAAATGAAGGCACACTCGGCAGAGAGAGCTGAGGGAAAGTGACCAAAGAGGAAACTGAGGCCCACAAAGGGCTCAGCAGACGAGGTTAGAGCAGTTCCTGGTGCCATGTCCCTCTTTCCCAGAATCTCCCAGGCGTTTGTGGATCAGTGACAGGCTGAACGGAAGGAGGGTGGAAGAGAGAGGGCCGGAGCTGGAGCACTGGGGAAGGGGGCCATATGGGGAAGGGATCTTGAGTCGGAGTGCAGGTGGCGTTGGTTGGGAACATGTAGCTGAGCCCCACAGACCCAAGTTCAAATCCTGACTCTGCCAGGCTGTGGAGGGAGGGGGACGGAGGCACAGCTCCTCCCCCAAGGATCTCAGCGTTCAGAAGCGGCAGGGAGCCGCGGAGACAGACGCGGAGCAGAGAGAAACAAGGGAGCCAGATGACTTCACGCGCTCAGAGGGATCGGATGGCAGTGTTACAGTCAACTGTCGGAGAACTGTCCGCTCTGAGGCAGTGACTTTGCGGCTGAGGTTTGAATGAAAAGATGGAGCCATTCAAGAACAGAGTGGGTGTCTTAGGCTGGTGGAACAGCAAATGCAAAAGCCTTGAGGCTGGACTGAGCTTGGTGGAAGCCAAGGGAAGCCTGTGTGATGGGATGAGGGCAGGGGTGGGGGAAGTCATGAGGAACCCCGGTCAACACCTTGGGATGGACAAGTACCTCTTATTACGAAGCAGGGATGGAACTGGCTTTGGTTGGCCAATGACTCTTTGCTACTCAAGGGGTTGCAGCCTATCTTGAGATAGACTAGTAGATCTTATAATGAAGAGGGGATGGAACCGGCTTTGGTTGGCTAATGGCTCATGGCTACTCGAGGGGTTGCAGCCCATGTCTCCTACTGGTTGAGTTTTGAGGTCTGGCCTCCCTGGTCTGTGCTTGCAGTGAGAGCATCCACTGAGGCCCATCCCCGCTGAAGGCTGAGCTATGCAGCGTCCCCTCCCAGGGAAACTCCCAATGGAGGGTGCAGCACATACCCCGAGGCTGGGGTTCAGGTGTCTGTGGGAAGAGCTCTGGGGTCAGCTGTGATGCATCACACCATGTGTTAGCTTCTTTAGCTCCTTCACCTACCCTAAGAGGGGTGTGGAAATATTATACCCAACTTACAGAGCAGAGAAACTGAGGCCCACAGAGGGGCGAGGAATTGCTGGGGTTCCACCGGGAGCAACCTTGAGGCCAGGGATGACTCACCGGATGAGTACATGCTCTGGACCAGTGCTTTGGGCTTCCTGGGCCCAGGACTCCACATGTTCTGGTTTCAGATCTCAGTGTTCTGTTTCTCTGGGTGGAAGCCCCAGGCCCATTCAAGGAGGTCAGGCATGCAGTGGGTGGCTGCTGGGCAACCATGGCATGGTCTGATGGTCCCCAGAGGTCCTGCCTCTATTGAACTTGTTGTGTGACCCGAGCAAATCCCCTCCCCTCTCTGAGCCTTAGTTGCCCCCATCTATAGAACAAAGATGGACTGGGATCCCCACTCCGGTCTACCCTCTCAAGCCTGCTCCCCAAACCTTCTCCTTCTGCAGGTCTGGGAGCAGTGACCCCTACTGCATAGTGAAAGTGGACGACGAAGTGGTGGCCAGGTGAGGCGGGGAGCAGCCAGGCATGGGGTGAAGGAGACAGGGGAGTCCAGGTATAAGAATCCACGTTGAAAAGAGGACCTTGGGGGCAGACTTACCCCACTCGCTGGCCTGATGGCAGGTGTTTGTGCCCCGGCTATGGGGCTGGATGGTGGGGGCTGCTGGCTCCTCTGTCCCTCTAGTCCCACCAGCTGGCCGCCACCTTCCCCCTTGCCCTGACGATGTCCCTGCCTGCATCCTGGGGCTGACTCAGCGGCTGCCAGCTTGCGCCTTCCCGGGGGCGGGAATCTCACGCTTGGCTGGGCTGGCTGGTTCTGGGCCTGCTGGGTGCTGCGGGCACTGGTGTGTGTGTTTGTGTGTGTGTGCCCAGCTGGACCTGCTTGTGAGTGTGTATGGTGTGTGGGGAAGTGTTGGAGGGCTGGTGTGAATGCCCGTGACCACCGGTGTGTGTCCCCGTGGGTGTGCAGACTCAGAGGCTCACGTTGTATGCCAGCATGTGGGGTGTGTATGCGTGTGTGCACACGTGGGCTGCCGTGTACATGCATGTGTGCACCGATGCCTGCTTATTTGGGTACACAGGCGCCGCTGTGAACACGTGAGGATGTGAAGATGTCTGGTTGCCTGAGCCAGTCTCGGGCTGGGCTGGGCTTGGTTGCCGCCCCCGCAGGCCGAGGGACAGCTCTCAGCCCCCGCAGTCCTGAGGGGTGTGGGTGGGCGGGCGGCTGAAGCCTCGGTTCCTATGGAGACCGAGGATTCAGGATCCTCCTGGCGCCAGTTCTGGTCCAGATGGGCTGGGAGCTGGGGGCAGGGAGCCCATGTGGGGGAGGGTCAACCTGCAGCACCCCAGCCGATCTCTGGGTTTATCCCCATCACTCTGGGTTTACCCTGACTCCTCACCACACTCTGTGACAGCACCCCCACGTCCACAGACTGATTTTCTGTGTGACCCCAGGCTGCTGTCTCCCCCTCTCTGAGTTATGAGGACCCTCCAAGTTCAGGGGCTGGGGAGTCTGGGGGGACTTCCAGTTGGAAAGAGGGTGGGGTAGGGGGGATGAGAGTATTTGGAAAGAAGGGTCGATCTGATGGAGTGGCCCTGGTCTGTCACGTTCACACTCTACTGGGGAAGAGTGTGGTGGAAGCGAAGTGCGGATTGAATTCCCAGCCAAAGATTGAGGCCAGGTTGTGATGGTGAGAGCACCAGATGCTCATCTACTAGACCAGTGATCAGTGACAAGAGCCCTGGCCCTTGGGCTTTGCAGAAAAGAATTCCCCAAAAGATGGAAAGTAGTGAAGCAAGTCAAGTATTAAGAGGGCCAAGAGTACAGTATGTGTGGTGGATGGGCCTAAGGGCAGACTCAGAGGGCGAGTCCCTGAGTTGCACCCTTGTGGTAGTTTGAATTACTTTTATGGGGCATTTCTTCCAGGTTTTCTTTGACCAATCACTTTGATTTACCTGGTCCACAGTGTGTATTTCGTGTATCTCAGGATCCTTCCATGTGTGCCTGCATCTCTTAGCCAGGATGGACTCTACTGAAGAGGCCTGTGGGTCACCTGGCCTTAGTTAACATCGCTCCCCTTTGACCTCAAGGAGCCTTTCTGCACATGTGTGGTCACAGAGGTCTCCTGACTTCCAGAATGAGAAGTATGTGGTCTGGGCAGGGCCCAGCCTCTCCCTTAATCGTCCTGCTATTGTCTTGGAGTTTTAGTCCATAGGGAATGAATCTCCAATCGCTTTCCCATGAAGGGGGCCCATCTACCTCCTGCCTCAGAAGGAAGAAGGCAGAGGCAGGTGTGTTGGCCAAATCTTGCAGCTGTAAACTTGAGTGTGTGTTGACTGGGCAAAGTGAGTTCTCTTTTCGCTGTTGGGTAAAGGGCAGTGCATCTGCAGAGGTGTTGGGATGGAGGTGTGTGTCTGTTTCTGGGTCTGTCTTGGTCCCCGATTCTTTTGGGGTTCCCTCTTTCTGAGAGTGCTCTGGCCCCTGCTGACTTCATGGTCCCCTGGCCCCTCACACTTTCCTGCCTCTCAGCCACCATCTTCTTGTTCCTCAAATTCACCATTCCTGCCTCAGTGCCTTGGCACATGCTCTTCCAGCCATCTGGATTGTCTTCATCCTCTGCTTTGCCTGACTAGCTCCTGCAGAAAGCCTTTCCTGACCCCTCCCGTCCTCAGCCCAGTGGGCCCTGCTGGGCTCACCAATCACAGGACTTCTCTCATTGTGTCATAAGGGTTCGGGAGGGAGCCCCTTTCTGCTGGGGGAGCTCTGTGGGGGTGGGGACCTTGGCACCTCTTCCTCTGATTCCCCATAGCCCCCAAGACTTGGCACATAGTCAGGGTGAGTGTTTATGGAGTGAATGAATGAATGAATGGATGGATGAATGGAATTGTGTGTCTTGTCTGTTACTGAGGGTTTGTGTGATCTTCTCTGTGTATCTCTGCCGGGTATTACTCTGTGTATGTGAATGTGTGTCTGTGTGTCTGTGTGTGTCTCCATGTTCTGGGCATTTCTTTTGTTTGTGTTATCTGTATGAATGTTTTCTCTGTGTGGGTCTGCCTTGTCTATATGTAGAAACACATAGTTGTATGTTTCTAGAAACTTTTGAAGAGGCATATGAGTATCTGTATATGTGTGCATGTGTCTCTTTGTGTCTCTGGCTTCCTTGGTATATCTGTGAATGTTTGTTTCTGTGTGTGTGTGTGTGTGTCCAGGTCTCTGGGTATGTGTTATGGTTTGTGTGTGTATCTGTAGCTCTATATCAGGGTTCTTGGGTGTATGTGAGTGTGTATATGTAGCTATATTTGTGTTTGAGTAGCTCTGGGTGTGTATGTGTCTGTGTGTGTGTGTGTCCCCAGGTATCTGCTGCCTGTGTGGCCCAAAGACCCCCCTGTGCCCCCTTTTGCAGGACAGCAACCATCTGGCGGAGCCTGAGCCCCTTCTGGGGGGAGGAGTACACCGTGCACTTGCCCCTGGATTTCCACCATCTGGCCTTCTACGTGTTGGACGAGGACACGGTGGGGTGTGTGTGCTGGGGACCCAAATCTGGGCATCTGAGGGAAAGCGGGACACCCCAAAGCACAGTACCTGTCCACCCAGCCATTGACATCTGCACCCACCTCTCCACGGGCTGGGCAAGTGTCCCTGACTTGGGCCCTCACCTGCCTGCCTTTCTGCAGGCACGATGACATCATAGGCAAGATCTCGCTGAGCAGGGAGGCCATTACAGCGGACCCCCGAGGTGGGTGAGGGTTCCAGGCAGAGGGCAGGGGGGTGGCGCTTGCTGGGGCATAGCAAGCAGCACGGGGGAAATTATTTTGGTTGTTGCTTCTGTTCTGAATTTTATTTTTTCAAAAATTTGTATTATTTATTTTTTTGCATGTGCTGGGTCTTCGTTGCTGCATGGGCTTTTCTCTAGTTGCAGCGAGTGGGGGCTACTCTCTAGTTGCCAGGCACAGGCTTTTCATTGCAGTTGCTTCTCTTGTGGAGCAGGGGCTGTAGGGCCAGGGGCTTCAGTAGTTATGGCTCCTGGGCTCTGGGGCACAGGGTTAGTAGTTGTGGCCCATGGGCTTAGTTGCTCCATGGCAAGTGGGATCCTCCCGAATCGGGCACTGAACCTGTGTTTTCTGCATTAGCAGGCAGATTTTTTTTTTTTTTACCACTGAGCCACCAGGGAAGCCCGCACTTGAATTTGATTCATTTATTGAGCAGTTAACTTATTTACATTCAATATTTAAGAGATACAGTTAGCAGTGAGACTGTCCCTCTTACCCCAGCTACTCCATTCTCAGCCCCGTGTTGTCAGTTTCTCATGTGTCCTTCTCGGGACATTCTAAACCGATGCAAGCAAGGGACTTCCCTGGTGGTCCAGTGGCTGAGACTTCACACTCCCATGCAGGGCCCCCGGGTTTGATCCCTGGTCAGGGAGCTAGATCCCACATGCTACAACTGAGAGTTTTTGTGATGCAACTAAAGGTCCCGCATGCCGCAACTAAGATCCAGCACAGACAGATAAATAAAATAAAATAAATATTAAAAAAAATATGCAGGCAAGTAGCAACAGTAACAGCAGCTAACGTTTATGTGGTGCTTACTGTGTGCTGATCACTTTCTAAATGCTTTACACGTATCAATTCACTTAATTATTCTAATAACACTAAGAGGTGGGTACCCTTGTTATGCCCATTCTACGTGCGCATGCTCAGTCGCTTCAGTCGTGTCCAGTTGTTTGCGACCCCATGGACCGTAGCCGCTACATCAGGCGCCTCTGTCTTCCCAGGCAAGAATTCTGGAGTGGGTTGCCATGCTCTCCTCCAGGAGGATCTTCCTGACCCAGGGATTGAACCCACGTCCCTTATGTCTCCTGCATAGGCAGGAGGGTTCTTTACCACCAGTGCCACCGGGGAAACCCTATGCCCATTCTATAGGTGAACAAACTGAGGCACAGGGGGTTAAATAACTTGCCCAAGATCACAAAGTGACTAAGTGGGGCAGCTGGGATTTGAAGCAAGTGGTCTAGTTGCAAAGTCTGTGCTCTTTCTACTATATGTGTTTTGTTCTCTGCTTATAGAAATAGGGCTTCCCTGGTGGCTCAGATGTTAAAGCGTCTGCCTACAATGCGGGAGACCTGGGTTCAATCCCTGGGACGGGGAGATCTCCTGGAGAAGGAAATGCAACCCACTCTAGTATTCTTGCCTGGAAAATCCCATGGACAGAGGGGCCTGGTGGGCTATAGTCCATTGGGTCGCAAAGAGTCAGACACAACTGAGCTATTTCACTTTTTTATTTTTTATAGTAATAGGACTCCATTAAACACACTGTTCTGTATCCTGTCTTTTCACTTCGCTGTGTATCTTGGAGATCTTTCCATATTAATGTCTCAAGAGCTTCTGCATTCTTTGCTCTTAGTATGACTTCATGGCACTCCGTTTTGTGGATGTACCATCATTTATTTTGCTAAGTGCCTTCTTGATGTGCACTTGGGTTATTGACAATGTTTTCCTAGTTCAAACAATGCTGCAATGAATAGCCTTGGACAAATGTGATTGCACACATGTATACAAGTTTATATTAATTAAAAAAAATTTTGGCTGTGCAGTGCTGTATGTTGGATCTTAGATCCCCAACCAAGGATTGAACCCACGCTCCCTGCATTGGAAGCAAGGAGTCTTAACCCCTGGACCGCCAGGGAAGTCCCCATATATGCCAGTTATATCAATCAGCATAATGAATTACTAGAGGTGGATTTGCTGGATCAAAGAGTATCCACATTAGCACGTTTGATAGTTATAGTTATTGTTAAGTTACTCTCCAGTTACTTAACAGTTAATGGTTTAATCTACCCTTTAACCATGTCAACAAATGCCATACCTTTGGATCTTGAATCTGATAGGTTAAAAAATTGGCTCCTTGTGTGGGTTGTTTTGCATTTCTGTATAAGTAAGTTTGAAGACCTTTTTAAATACTCAAGAGTCTCTTTATTTCCTTTTTTTGTGTGTCTATTGTCTATTCACATTGTATGTGTATTTTTCACCCACTGGGTTGTTTGCCTTTTCTTAGTTTTTTGAGGGAGATCTTTTTACATGAGGAAAATAAACATTGTCACATTAGCTGCACATTTTTTTTCTCCTTTGTGGCTTATATTTTGACTTTGCTTATCATTTTCCAGTAGAAAATTTGCTTCTTTTTCTGTAATCAAAATTTGCGTGTGGAGGGGCACTTGATTTTATGTAATACCTAGAAAGTCTTTCTCAGTCCTGAGATTAGGACAGATTGTTTTATATGATTCTTTCTAGCAACAATTTGTTCCGGTTTTTTTTTTAACAGTCAAGTCTTTGATCTATTTGGAACTTACCCAGATACAAAGTATCCAATAGGGATTGGACTTGACTGCTTTGGTCTAGATGATTCTTAGTTGTCTTGACACCATTTATTGAATAATATAATAATATATTTTTGCGTCAGTGAGCATTAGTTAACAGCACACTATGTGCCAATCATTATAATCATCACTTCTATTTAGTGAAGGCTTATTATGTGCCAGCCACAACGCTAAGCACTTTACATTTAGTCTAGACAATACCAAGTGAAGTGAGGTGAGATGGAACTTCACTTTTCTAATTTAATTATTGCAACAGATACCTAATCAAGTTAGAAACAGCTTATGGCATCCTGGACTTGGGAATAACGAAAGAGATAGAGAGGTAAAGTAGAACTTACACTTCCGGCAGCATGGGGGACTAGATCCACAGAATGGCTCTCTGGCCACATACCAGTGAGATCCTGAATTAGATGCAATTCCTAACACATTGTTGGAAGGATGTGAAGAGCATTCAGTATTCCTCCCTTTGCTTGCAAGCTTGCGTGCTAAGTCTCTTCAGCCGTGTCCGACTCTTTGCGATCCCGTGGACTGTAGCCTGCCGGGCTCTTCTGTCCATGGGATTCTCCAGGCAAGAACACTGGAGCGGGTTGCCATGCCCACTTCTATTCCTCCCTCTACTCCTGGTGAATCATGAGCTAAAACCTAACATGGAGTGGTGAGCAAGAGCTAAGGGACTCAGGAAGGATTTCCCTGAAAGTTAATGTCAATATCAGATTCACAGTCAACAGACTAAATCTTAGGCCAGGGGAAAGGTGGCTATTACTGAACCTGAGAATTCCCCTTCAAAGGTCCTAAGCAACTGCCACTCCTCTCCAGGGATAGGCATCCTCATGTTAAATTTCCCACAGAGTAAGCTCAAAGATCATCACACACACAAGGAAGTGAGCCACCAAGAACAAGGGTCAGCAGAAATGATGACCATCAGATTTAGACCTGTAAAGACTTTAGACTTTGTATTTAGATATATAAGAATTTTTAAAATTCAATAAATAAAATTTAATCACCTGGAAGGGCCAGAAATAACCATGATAAATTAAAGCAATACATTAAAAAAAATAGACTGACTTGGAAGATAACCAAATCAAATGCTTAGAGATAAAAGGTACAGTTGTTGACCTTAAAAACCAAGTGGATGAGTGGCACATCATTCTTTAGAGCTGAAGTCATAATTAGTGAACTGGGAGAGAGATCTAAAGAAATTATTTAAACCTCAGCTGAGAGAAATGAAAAGCATATAAGAGAAGTTCAAGACATGGAAAATAACTGAGAAAGTCTCTAACATCCATTTAATTGGAGTCCTAGAAGCAAAATATAGAAAAAAGTGGGGAGAGGAAATGATTCTAAAATATTGATGACCTGGAATTTTCCAGAACTCAAGGGCATGATTTCATAAGTAGAAGGAGCACAGCCTTTACTAAACAGGATTTTTTTTGTTTTGTTTTTTTAAATCCTTACCTAGATATACTGTGGGGAGACTGCAAAAAACATCAAAGATTTAGCCCTTAAACTTGGAAAAGATAGACAATTCATGCAAGATCAATTATTAGGCTGAAATGACTTCCCAGTAACTACAACTGAAGCTTGGAAGTCAGTGGCACAGTATCTTAAAAAATTTTTGTTTATTTAGTTTTAATTAGAAAAAATTTTTTTGGCCATGCCACTTTCTGTGTGGGATCTTAGTTCCCTGACCAGTGATCGAACCCATGGCCACCCCCCCCACCCCCCCCCCCCCCCCCGCTGCACTGGGAGTGCAGAATCTTAACCATTGGACTGCCAGGGAAGCCCCTGGAACAGTATCTTTAATGTGTTGAGAGAATGAGAGACAGAGACAGAGACAGAGAGAAAGAAGGAAAGGTTAAGATTGAGAAGATCAAGACTGACTTGATTGATTCAGGCCGAGAGCCTATAAGAAGGCTCAGAGATAGGAATGCCCAAGTGTTTTTGTTTTTTTTTTCCTGAGGGGAGAGTAAATGATGGAGGGCTTTATATACTAGGATGAAGAGTGTGATAGTACATGGTTAGGAGCACTGGCCCTAGAACTATACTACCTGCATTTGAATCCTAGCTCTGCGGTTTACTAGCTCCTTCCTTGCTGTGCCTCTTTTTCCTCATCTGGAAGCGGCGATAATTACAGTACCTATAACAGAAGGCTAGTGAGAGGTCCATGACTCAATATCCTTTTAACATTAATTGAATTTTTAAAGATTATGCAATGCCTGGATGGTGGTAGGTGCTTAATGAATGTTGGTGCCTGTGCCCTCCAGGAATTGACAGCTGGATCAACTTGAGCCGCGTGGACCCAGATGCAGAGGTGCAGGGTGAGATCTGCCTGGCCGTGCAGATGCTGGAGGACGTGCGGGGCTGTTGTCTTCGCTGTCACGTGCTCCAGGCTAGGTATGGTCATGATGGGGGTGAGGATGTGGTAGGGGGGTGGTCTGAGAATGAGCAGGAATCCACTGGACTCCTCCCAGCTGCCTTGAGACCACCTCACTCCTGAGATACTTCTGGGCTCAAAACCGACATCCTTGTAAGGCAAACAGTCCAAGCTCACCAGATTGCAAGTTTCTTGGGTTAAAGCATGAGCAAAGTCTTTGTTGGGTCCCCAGTGACCAGCAACCAAATGCCAGATACTCAGAATGATCAGGCAGATGGGTGTGGAGATATATTAATCAAATCACAAGTGATAGACACCCAATTTATACTGGCTTAAGGAGATTGGCTCATCTGAATCATATGCAGCTTCAGGCATGGCTGGATCCAGGTGCTCCAACGGAGACATCAGGAATCTGTAGACATAGATTCCTTGGGTGTCTTTTGTATTAACTTTATTCTCAGACAGTTTCTCCCCAGATAGGGGCAAAGCTGATCCTAACAGCTCCAGGCTGGCATCCTACCAATTTGGCAGCTCCAATGGAAAAAACTATCTTCCACCATTTCCAACCAATATCCTGGGACTAACTCTTATTGGCCCAGTTTGGAGTACCTGCCTATCATTGAACCAATTCCGCTGACTCTGATTGGTCAGACTTGAGTTGCAAGCCCCTTCCTGGCAGAGAGGGAGGAATCAACCCACTCAAGTCATGTGGGTTGGGAGAAAGGGAGGGGCAGGTCCTGTCCCAAGGAAACATCAGAAAAAAGACGGATGCACTCCTGAGATACCCATCTTCCCTCTTGTCTATTTATCACTCCTCTCTCGTTCTCAGCTGCCCCGTCACTCTATTTCCTTGACTACTTCCACTCCTTTCGCCCTTCCATGTCTTATTTTGTTTTCTTCCCATGTTTTCCCCCACACCTTACTCCCCTTATTCTTACTTTTAGGCCAGTCCTCACCCAAGTTGGACTAGGTCTCTCTTTCTAGTTTGCTCTGTGACCTTAAAGCCCTTTCTTGCCCTCTCTGTGCCTCTCCCACCGCTTCCAGATTTCTATCCCCAGCTGGAGCTCCCTGGAGAGTGACTGGAGTAGCAGGCAGGCATAGGACAGGCAAAGGGACTTTTTCTGGGGTAGGGACTCCTCACTTACTCTGTGCCCATGGCCTCCTCCCCAGCTACAAAGCTATGCAGGATCCTTGTAAGGAGGAGAGGGACCGATTGCTGTCGCTTAGCAACTAGGCCGGCTCCTAGGAAACCAAAGAAGGCTTTGGATGCCAAGCAGGGTGGGAGAGAAACAGCAGGAGGAAAGAAGCAGCCCCTGGGTGTCGGGGGGAGAGGGTCCCTGGATCTGGGGGACCTTGGGAAGGAGGGGTGGGAGAGGCTGAGACTTGGGTTGTCATGGCAACCAGAGGCAGGGGTCCCTTCCTCATGCCTTGTCTTGGTCCTAGTGTGGGTAGGAGTGTTTGTTGAGTGAATGAGTGAGCTGAGCACTCTCCACATGTCATCTTATCCCTTGGCCCTGTGAGGTCAGTCTGTTATTACTCTGATTTTCCAGATGAGGAAATTGAGGCTCAGGGAGGTGAAGTGACTTCTCCCAGTGTCAGCCAGCCAGTGAATGGGAGAATCCAGGCTATGAACCCTGGCATCTGGCATCTTGTCTCCCATCCATGGGCTCCAGGGAAACAGAGGCTCCCTTTCCCTTCCTCACTGCACCTTCACCCACTGCTTTGTGATGTTCAGCTTCACCTTTCTCTGCTTCAGTTTCCTTACCTAGAAAATGTGGGCATAGTAACGTGTCCTCATAGGGTAGCATTAATCAAAAGGAAGATACCAGGTTTGGACAGGCCTGGTGAGGGATGCTCTTTGCTAAATCCCTACAATGTACTATTTTGTTGTCTTGGAAATCAGCAACATTTGAACTGTCTAACCTGAACCCCTTCTCCAAGGCTTGGGTCTTGGTCCTCAAGGGTCCTGTGACCCCCACTCCTTACCTCATCTGTCCCCAGGGACCTGGCTCCCCGAGACATCTCTGGCACATCTGACCCATTTGCGCGTGTGTTTTGGGGCAGCCAGAGCTTGGAGACTTCGGTAAGTGGTGGAGTGGAGCTGGGAGACTGGGGCATTAAATTACCTTGGGAAAGCCACTTAACCGCTCTGAACCTCAGCCTTCCCATCTGTAAAATGGAGACAAGAATGGTCCCAGTAGCTCTCTCTGTCTCTCACTCCCTCCTCTCCCAGACCATCAAGAAGACTCGCTTCCCACACTGGGATGAGGTGCTGGAGCTGCGGGAGATGCCAGGTTCCCCATCCCCTCTGCGAGTGGAACTCTGGGACTGGGACATGGTTGGCAAGAATGACTTCTTGGGAATGGTGAGCACCCCCCAGACACCCTCCTTGGCTCACCACTACCTCCAAGGGGGACTGGGGAGAAGGTCTGGGCATCTTGGGGCTCACTTGGAAGGTTAGATGTGACGTTTGCCTTATCAGGAACATTGGCCAGGCCTGCATGACAGAGTCCCATGATCCCATTGGTGCAGGAACCTACCTAAGGTCACAGGGTGGGCCTAGGTTCTTATTCCGGGATGAGTAGCCAGGTTGACTGTGTGCTTCACTGTGCTAAGTGCTTCTCCAGCATCGCTTCATTTATATAACCTTGATGGCCACTGTTAAGAGGCTGGGACCATTGCTGTTTCTATTTTACAGATGGGAAGACTAAGGTTCAGAGAGGTGAAGTGGCTTTCCCAAGGTCATATGATTAAGAAATGGCAGAGTCAGGATTTGAGTTCAGGTCTCTCTGAATCCAGAATCTAACTCTTATTCCTAGATGCACTGGGCTTAAGGTCTTTCTGTTAGAACTTCAGTCTCCCCATCTGTAAAATGGGTATTATTTTTCTTGCCTCTCAGGAGTAGTGAGTGGATGTATACTCAGCATTTTTGTTTTGACAGCTTTTTTGTTTTTTGGCTGGGTCGCATGACCAGGGATTGAACCTGGGCCATGGCAGTGAAAGCCGAGTCCTAACCACTGACCCACCAGGAAAATCCTGAAGCTGCCAGTTTTTAAAAGGAGGCAAGATTAAATAAGAGGGAGACTTGGTCATGGACCTCCCTTGAAATGACCACATGCTTCACCAAAGTCATCAAGGCATGTAAAATGGTGTCGCTGCTTTGGAAAAATCTGGCAGTTCCTCAGTAAGAGTTACCACGTGGCCCAGCAGTTGCACTCTTAGATGTGTACCAAAGAGAAAGGGAAACATATCCACACACAACATTTTACGTTAATGTTTATAGCAGCATCATTCATAAATAGCCAAAAGTAGAAACAGCTCAAATGCCTATCAACAGATGAATAAAGAAACAAAATATAGTATATTTACTCAGCAGAATATTATGTGGCCATAAAAAGCAATGATATCCTGACACATGGATCCTGTGACATTCATCCTGACACATTCATCCACACAACATGGATGAATTTCGAAAACACAATGCTAAGAGAAAGAAGCCTGTCCCAAACTCCCCACATATTACATAATTTCATTTATCAAGTTTGGTTCAGTTCAGTTCAGTCACTCAGTCATGTCTGACTCTTCGTGACCCTATGGACCGCAGCACGCCAGGTCTCCCTGTCCATCACCAACTCCTGGAGCTTGCTCAAACTCACATCCATTGACTCAGTGACAACATCCAACCATCTCATCCTCTGTCATCCCCTTCTCCTCCTGCCTTCAATATTTCCCAGCATCAGGGTCTTTTCCAATGAGTCAGCTCTTCCCATCAGGTGGCCAAAGGATTGGAGTTTCAGCTTCAACATCAGTCCTTCCAATGAACACTCAGGACTGATCTCCTTTAGGATGGACTGGTTGGATCTCCTTGCAGTCCAAGGGACTCTCAAGAGTCTTCTCCAATACCACAGTTCAAAAGCATCAATTCCTCAGCGCTCAGCTTTATAGTCCAACTCTTACATCCATACATGACCACTGGAAAAACCACAGCCTTGACTAGATGGACCTTTGTTGGCAAAGTAATGTCTCTGCTTTTTAATATGCTGTCTAGGTTGGTCATAACTTTCCTGCCAAGGAGTAAGCATCTTTTAATTTCATGGCTACAGTCACCATCTGCAGTGATTTTGGAGCCCCCAAAAAATAAAGTCAGCCACTGTTTCCACTGTTTCCCCATCTATTTGCCATGAAGTGATGGGACCAGATGCCATGATCTTAGTTTTCTGAATGTTAAGCTTTAAGCCAACTTTTTCACTTTCCTCTTTCACTTCCATCAAGAGGCTGTTTAGTTCTTCTTCACTTTCTGCCACAAGGGTGGTGTCATCTGCATATCTGAGGTTATTGATATTTCTCCCGGCAATCTTTTTTTTTTTTCTCCCGGCAATCTTGATTCCAGCTTGTGCTTCCTCCAGCCCAGCGTTTCTCATGATGTACTCCGCATATAAGTTAAATACAAGAGAATCTATAAAGACAGAAAAATTAGTGGCTGCCAGGGGCTGGAGGATGGGGAGTGTTTGCTAATGGATATAGGCTTTCTTTGGCCAGAGGAGCTGATAGTAAATGGTCTGAAATTAGTGGTGGTAGTTGCACAACCTGTGAATATACTAAAAACCACTGAATTACTTTAAATTGGTGAATTATATGGGATATAAATTATATATGTATAAAGTTGTTATTTAAAAAGAGAGGGGGAGGGTGGGACTTGACCTTCTAGACTATCTTTAAGCCTTTTGATAGATGCAAGTTTTGTCCCTCAACGGAGCTGAAAATACACTCACTCCAGACATGTTATCTCTAGCCGCTGTGTGATCTTGGGCAAGTCACTCCACCTCTCTGAGCCTCAGTTTCCTCAATTGTAGATTAAGTGTTCCCTGGAGGCCTCCGGTGCCCTGGCAAGAGCTAATAATCGGGGACTGGGGGACAGAGTGTCGCCATCGTTGTGTTGATAGAACACGGTGGGGGAGGAGGAGCTGACCCTGGGTGGGCTTTGCCACCCCTCCTTGGGTGGGCAGCCTAACTCTTCTTCCAGGGCCCAGCAGGGCAGAGCTCTGCTAAGGGTCTGTGTGTCGCCCCACAGGTGGAGTTCCCCCCACAGGTCCTGCAACACAACCCGCCCAATGGCTGGTTCCGCCTCCAGCCCTTTCCCAGAGCAGAGAAGGATTCTGGGTAAATGTGGGTACAGTGGGAGGAGGCCGGGCTGGAACCATGTTGGGTTCCATCTTCCGCTTGCGGGCCAGTCCTCATGGGTGCCCACGTCAGCCCACACGCCATCACCAGGTCCCTTCATTCATTTAACAAACGCTTGCTGAATGTCTCACCATGTGCGTTTACATGTGTCCAAATGAGTTCACCTTATTCCCATCCACCTGCAAACACATCAGTTGAATCTGATGTGTGTGCAGGATTTCTGGTCCCTCCACACCTGTCCACACACCTGTTCACACCATCCGTTCCTGTGTACATGTGTTTACACTGGCCTCATCTTTCTACATTGGCCGGATCTGTTTACACTGCCTGCCCCTGTCCATTCCTGTTTATACCTGTCGATATCTGTTCACCCCTGTTTATACTGCCCACGCCTGTTCACACCTGCCCATACCTGTCTTGTTTGACAATTATCCATGCTCTTCACCCGCGCTCACACCTGCCTCTCTGGGCTCTCTGCATCTGCCCATACATACTTATGTTCCTTTTCCTGTGTTCTGGCCCCGGCCAGCGGCAGCTTGGGTGCTCTGAGGCTGAAGGTGCGTCTGACCGAGGACTGTGTCCTGCCCTCACAGCACTACCAGCCGCTCAGGGAGCTGCTCATGGAGTCGGTGCTGGGGCCAGCAGAGGTGGGTGCATCCCTGGGGGTGTGTGTGGGGGATCTGGGTCATGGCCACCCCCTGCTTTAGGGATGTCTAGCTGAGCTCTTCTGTTTTGGGGTCCCAGGGCCCCAGGCCACCTCTCCTGCCTCCTGTCCTTGTGCAGGAGGATGCTGCCAGCCCTTTGGCTGTCCTGGAGGAGTTGACCTCGGGGGACTGCCGCCAGGAGCTGGCCACCAAGCTGGTGAAGCTCTTTCTGGGCCAGGGCCTGACTGGACCCTTTCTAGACTATCTCACCCGACGCGAGGTGGCACGGACCAGTGAGTTGCCTGCATGACCACCCCCAGGCATCACTCCCCAAGGATGGGTCTGCAGAGGGTCTCTGAGAGAGAATTGGGGAGCTCAGGCAGACGACAGGGACTGCTGTGTCTTTGTGTGTTGGGGCGACAGGGGCTGGGAACCCCCAGCCAGCCGGGAGCATGGTCTTGGGTTCCGGACCTGGTTTTACTACTCATGTGCTGTGTGACCTTAGGCAGCTCACTTAACCACTCTGGGCCTTTGTAACGTGAAAGGAGTTGATGTGGCAGATCTCCTCGATTCCTGAGGTCTGAAAGATCATGACCACTGCCCCCCACCCAACCTTGGGGGGGGAGTGAGATGGATCCAGCCCCCTACATCCTAGCAAATACTTCTCTCTGTCCTCTCAGCTGACCCCAACACCCTCTTCCGTTCTAACTCCCTGGCGTCCAAGTCAATGGAACAGTTTATGAAGGTGAGTAGGTGAAGGCCTGGGGGGCTGGTGGGCGGTCCGGCGGCCGTTTCCTCACGGGCACTCCCTTCCCAGTGCTTACTCAGAGCCCAGAGCTTGGCTGGCCTCAGGTGGCCCTGGGCAGCCGAACTGGGGGGCCGGTGGCTGGCCTTGCCCTGAGTTGCACCCCCAGCCCAGCCCGGGGGCAGGCCCCCCGCCTCGCTCTGAACATCTCCCTGCGTGGCCCCCCGCCCCCAGCTCGTGGGCACACCCCAGCCTCGCCCTCAGCCCCGCCCCGTGTGGTGCCCCCTGCCCCCAGCTCGTGGGCATGCCCTATCTGCATGAGGTCCTGAGGCCAGTGATCAACCGCGTCTTCGAGGAGAGGAAGTACATGGAGCTGGATCCCTGCAAGATGGACCTGGGCCGCACCCGGTGAGCCAGACCTGAGGGGTGAACCCGCCACAACCCCTCTTCTGCCTGGCAGGCCCGTCGGGCCGGGTCTGTGCCTTCTGCCGCCTCACCCCTCTTCCTGCTCTGGAGCACTAGTTCTAGCCTCACAACCTCCCCTGAGAGCAGCCAGCCCCTTAGACCATGTGGTGCGGTGGTTCCAGGCGGGACTCTGAGACGTGAGTGCCCTGGGTTCAAATCCCAGCTCTGCCATTGCTGGTGGGCAGGTTATTTCAAGCCTCGTGAATATCTACCTGATGGGCTGTCGGGAGAATGAACTTAGTCACACACACGAAGCCCAGCACTAACCAGTACTCCGGAAGTACTAATATTTCTATTATTGTGCTGGTGGTGGCTGAGGCCCTTGGGGGAGGGTCTGTGGAGGGGTTGGCCTGCTGCAGTGCTTGATGTCATGGGGTTAGGGGGCAGGGCAATGACGGGGTTGGGGGGTCATTCCATGTCTCCTGGGCTCCTCTTTTCTTTCCAGGACTTTTTTTTTCTCCAGCTCAGGCAGGTGGGCTTGTTCTTACCAAGCCATCAGAGTTGGCTGCTGGGCAGTCCACAGGGGACCATGGTGGAAACAGGAGAGGTTCTTTCCTTCTCTTTGGACATTGCCCAGCAAGTGCTGCCCACCCCTTCCGACCACCCAGAGGCGGGCATTAGGACCCCTTTTTACAGACAAGGAAACAGCCTCAGAGAGGGGAGGTCACCTGCCTAAGGCTGCACAGCTGGGAAGTTGCCAAGTGGGGATTTGAATGCAGCCCCTGAATAGAAGGGCAGAGTCCATCTGTGAAACCCCAAGGCCAGAGCTTTTCCCAGGACAGCTGGCAAAGACAGTGGGACTCAGTGGGTGCCCGCAGGGTGCAGGGGCATCGGGGGACTGGGCAGGGCAGGATGCAGACAGACTCTGGAACTGGCAGCCCTGAGTTCTAATCTATGTTCTGCCACCTATTGGCAAGGGGACTTCTCTGAGCCTCAGTTTCCTCATCTGTTAAATGGGAACAATCAGGCTACTTAAGGTGACATTGGTGGCTCAGAAGGTAAAGAATACGCTTGCAATGCAGGAGACCTGGGTTCGATCCCTGTGTCAGGAAGATCCCCTGAAGAAGGGAATGGTTATCCACTCCAGTATTCTTGCCTGAAGAATTCCAGGGACAGAGGAGCCTGGGGGGCTACAGTCCATGGGGTCACAAAAAGTTGGACACAGCTGAGTGACTGAGCGCACACCCCCAACACACACACACACGCATGTATGTGCCAAGCACTAGGCTGAACGCTGAGTTTGTATCAGGAAACAAATGGACACAAATCTGTCTTATTGGGGGAGACAGGTAATATTAATAAACTAAAGAAGATTCTTGCAGGTGATTAGTGAAATGGAGGGAAGTAAAGTGAGGGAGGGTCATGGGAAGAGCCAGAAGCAGGGGAGGGGCTTGTGATATTCCATAGGGAGGTCATAGGGACAGCCTCACAGAGAAAGGGATGTGGAGTCTAAGGCTTGGAGGAGGTGAGGGAGGTAGTCGTGTGCAGGTCTGCTGGAAGATGTTCCAGGCAGGGGAAACAGCAAGTGCAAAGGTCCTGGGGCAGCAGTGCATGTCTGGCAGGTCTCACTGAAAATGCAGGGAACCCGGGTCCATGATGGTGAGCAGTGGGGGAGAGATGTCCTCTTTGAGGAGGTGACTCCCCGCAGCAGGAATGGACCAGTAGGAGGGGAGGCCATGGAGAAGGGATGGGAAGGTGGGTGCTCTCTGAGCTTAGTAGGGGCCAGTAGAGGGTTTTGAGTGGGCAGATGCTGGGTTCTGAGGCACAACCCTCTGCTTGCTTCTCCAGGAGAATCTCCTTCAAGGGTGCGCCCTCCGAGGAACATGTGCGGGAGGCCAGCCTGGGGCTGCTGACGGGCTACCTGGGGCCTATCGTGGACACCATTGTAGGCTCCGTGGGGCGCTGCCCGCCCACCATGCGCCTCGCCTTCAAGCAGCTGCGCCAGTGTGTAGAGGAGCGTTTTCCCCAGGCGGAGCATGAGGTGGGCCAGGCGGTCCCACTGGGCAGATGGGGAGACTGAGGCTGAGGAGGGGCAGCGGCTAGTCCAGGGCTACAGGGAGAGGCTGGGGAGGGGTGGGACAGAACCTGGGCTGCCCACCCTGAGGTGCTGTGTGTCTTGGCAGAAGTGGGGACAGTGTTCTGGCAGGATCTGGGGCCCAGGGGTGATGATAGTGATGATGATGAGGATGATAATAACAGCAGCTAACACTACATATATTGGGACTTCCCTGGTGGCTTAGTGGTAAAGAATCTGCCTGCCAATGCAGGAGATGCAGGACACGCAGGTTCCATCCCTGGGTTGGGAAGATCCCCTGGAGAACACAGCAACCCCCTCCAGTATTCTTGCCCGGAGAATCCCACGGACAGAGGAGCCTGGTGGGCTACAGTCCATGAGGTTGCAAAAAGTCAGACATGACTGAGTGACCAAACAACCACCACAACAACACTATATACTGCCCTGACTAGGGGTCAGACTTTGTTTTACATATTTATTACCTCATCTAGTCTTCACACCCACCTTGTGAGGTGGGTGCCAGTATTATCCCATTTTACAGAGGAAGAAACTGAGGCCCAGAGAGGTGAGGTGCTTTGGCTAAGAGTTGTGGACTCAAGGCTCAGCCTCCAGACTCCCAGGGGGAAATCTCTCCCTCCTCCCCTCATCCTTCTCCTCAGACCTGAGCCTGGGCCTCCAACTGGGATGAGGCTGATTTATACCCCACACTGTGGGGCTCTTGCCTCGGCCGCTGGAGGAGGTGCTAAGTGGGACACATCTGGGGTGGGGGTGGGGGAAGCGGGAGACCAGCTCCCCAGACAGCCTGGCCCTTGTGGGAGGAGCCCCGCTCAGTGACACCCAAGTGTCCCCCAGTGAGCAATGGCTGCGGGCAGGGAACAGAAATTTCCTCATGCCCACAAAGATGGAGGGGGTCAGAGGGACCCAAGCAACCCCTGTCTCTGCCACTCTGACACCTGGTTCCTCCTTCTCAGGAAAGGAGGAAGTTAATGAGCTGACGTCAAAGGCTAAAGTTACCCAGGAATGTGGTGGGCTGGGGTGGGGGGCAGCCTGGGGGCAGTTTGGGGTTCCAGATCTGTGGGACCTCCTCCCCCATCTCTGAGCAGCTCCAGGGACCCAGCTCCTGGCAACGCTCAGTGTCAATGCAGAGGTGCCCTGGAAAGTTGGCACATACCCAGAGAGGGTATTGTTTTATGTGTGAATACAACCCCTAAATAAACACTGCAGCATATTCTCGGGGGCTAAATATAGCTTGGTGAGTGTGATGGGTAGGTGAGAAGCCATTTGGAGGGGGTCAGCGCCCAGGAGAGAGACACGCCTCTTCCCAAGTCCCCTCTGGAGCTGGGAGAACCAGCTTTATGTGCAGGTGGCCCAGGCCTGGGTCTCACACGAAGGGGTACCATGCTTTACAATTTGTGGAGGGCAGAGGCTGGGACTGGGGGTTGTGCAGGGAGCCAGCTGAACTGGGTTTGCTACCAAGCCTCAGTTTCTTCATCTGGAAAATGGGGATAGTAGTACTACCCCATGGATTGCTTGAGGAATAATCGTGACAGTGCAGGCTTAGTTTTTGACACCCAGTAGCTAGTATTGAATGCAGGACAGTGTGATGAAGAGCAGAGTTCATATTCTGCCTGGGTTCAAATCCTGGCTCTGCCACTTATTGCTGTGTGACCTTAGGCAAGTGACTTTCCCTCTCTGGGTCTCAGTTGCTTCCTCTGTAAAATGGAGACACAGAACCTCCAAGGGTGAGTATTAAATAAGCAAATACATGGAGAAATATCTGGCCTGTTGCTATTCATGATCAGAAATCACAGATCTGTGTTTGAATCCTGCTTCCTCTGCTCATCGGCTGCGTGACCTGGGGCAAGTCAGTTGACATCTCTGAGCTTCTGCTTCCTCAGCTGTAAATCGGGAATAATGATGACGCCTCCTGTGCCCTTTGCACAGTGCCTGGCACAAAGCAGACTCTGAGGATGTTTGGCTAAGTCTGATGGTGCAGAACTGGTATTATCACTCCATTTCCAGGCGGGGAAACTGAGGCCCAGAGAAGAAAAGCCTGCTTGGCAGACAGGATGGCCTCCTGAGCCATGTCCCCTTCTACTTCTTCTCCCGGAACCACCGATCCCTTGTCCTTGCTGTCCCAGTTTCCCTGACTGGGAAGTGGGTTTGGAGGACACCCCTCACCTGCTGCTCCTCTCCGCAGGACGTGAAGTACCTGGCCATAAGCGGCTTTCTCTTCCTGCGATTCTTCGCACCTGCCATCCTCACCCCGAAGCTCTTTGACCTCCGGGACCAGCACGCAGATCCCCAGACCAGCCGCTCACTGCTGCTGCTTGCCAAGGTGAAGGCAGTGGAGGACTCCTGCCCCGGCTCAGATCCTGGGTGTTCTTAGCCAGGGAGGAGCATGGGAGGACCAAACTGGGAGGCCAGACCCATGGAAGACCCAAGTGAGACCCAGAGACATCTGTTTGACATGGCACCTTCAGCTTTTTAAAAATTAATTAGGCTGTGCCAAGTCTTAGTTGTGCCATGTGGGATCTTTAATTGCAGCATGCAAACTCTTAGTTGTGGCATGTGGGATCTAGTTCCCTGATCAGGGATTGAACCTGGGGCCCCCTGCACTGGAAGCATGGAGTCTTAGCCACTGGACCATGAGGGGGAAGTCCCAGCTTTTCATCCTGAGTGTGAAGGCTTTCTTTTTGCTCTCAATTCTCTCTTTGGAATGAAACCCCTCCCCTTCTGGGGGAAGGTGGGAAGCAGGCTAGCCGTCATTTACACTTTAGTATGAATCAGACCATCATTCACAGAGGGGCCACATTTGGAGGTTCTGATGGGCTCAGGTATGTATGATGAGATCAAGCAGTCCTGAATGAGGTTATTTGGGTTCTAGCTGGGGGATAGAATAAAAGCACTGGGGATACACATCTGTGCACAGAGAGGAACAGATGTCTTTTCAGGCAGCTGCTTCTGTCACTTTCTCCTTTTGTTGAGCACTGAGTTGGCAGCCAGGACTCTTGGGCTCTGCCTGGGTCCACAGAGGCCCTTCCTCGCTGCAGTGACCTTGGCCCTGGCAGCGCCCCCTGCTCCTTTGCTCCAGGCTGTGCAGAGCATCGGAAATCTAGGCCAGCAGCTGGGCCAGGGCAAGGAGCTGTGGATGGCCCCCCTACACCCCTTCCTGCTGCAGAGTATTTCCAGGGTGAGAGACTTCCTGGACCAGCTGGTGGACGTGGATGGGAAGGAGGGTGAGTTCCCGTGGCCCTGCCATAGTCAACTTGTCACTTTACGGGACCCTCAGGACCTACCCATCTGCCACCCCTCCACAACCCCAGCACTCACTGAGACTGTGCACCTGTGGGTCAGCTAGTCAGTCAGTGAACCCTTCCTGGCACATGGCCCAGGGATGAACAAATGCAGGCCCTCCAGACCGTTTCAGCCCCTGTGGATATGTGAGAGGGGATCGTGGCATGGTACTCACTCCATTGGCAGAAATCTATTAAGCGCCTGCTAAAAATGTTCTAGACATCATTCTAGGGTCTGGGGACACAGCAGTGGATGAGACAGAAGAAGTTCCTGCTCATGTGGAAGTTTTATTCTAGTGGAGACAACCGGCGATAAACAAGATGAGTTAGCAAATCATGTGGTGCATTAGGGAGAGATAAGTGCTAAGGAATAAAAGGAGGGAAGGGAATATTGGGCTGGGGGTGGCAGGTCAGCCTTTTAGAGAGGGTGGTCAGGAATGACCTCCCCAGGGTGGTATTAGAGCAAAGACCTGAAAGAGGACAGAGAGCAAGCAGTGAGGATCCTGGGAAAGTGTTTCGGGATGAGGACAGGGTGTGCAAAGGCCCTGGGGTGGACAGTGAGGCAGGGCGGCCAGTGAAGAAGAATGAACGAGAGGGAGTGGAGGAGAGGTGAGGGGGCAGGTTCTGTGGGGTTGCTGGAGGCGTTTTGGCTTTTACTTGGAGTGAAGTGGAACCACAGGGTAGTTTTATTTTATTAACATTTAAGTATTTATTTACTTGGCTGCGTCAGGTCTTAGTTGCGGCATGAGGGCTTCTCTCTAGTTGTAGCATGTGGGCTCAGTAGTTGTGGCCTGTGGGCTTAGTTACTCTGCGGCATGTGGAATCTTCGTTCCCTGACCAGGAATCCAGCTTGTGTCCCCTGCATTGGCAGGTGGCTTCTTAACCACTGGACCCCCAGGGAACTCCCCATGGGATGGTTTTAAGCAGAGGAGTTAGGGATGAGTCTATATCATAATGTGGGACCCAGGTCATGAGATACTTGGGTCTGAATCACCTAGGAGCACCCTGTGGGAATGTGGAGGCCTGGTTGTGACCTGGTGGGGTCCCTGTATGCTGGGGGTGGGAGGGCCTGTGTCTGGACTCCCTAAGGGTAGCTAGATCCAGGGCCCTTACTCCCTGGACTGACTCCTGCTGGTGCCTGAACACCCCTCAAGTTGGAAGGGGATCACCAAGGCCAACTTTGGGGCTCCCACTCCCTGCCACCCCCATTCCTACCCCAGCCCTCAGTAACGCCATTCCCTATGGAGAAAGTAGAGTCCATCTTACTCATCCTCCTGCCTCTCGGGGAGTCGAGAATCCCACTCCTCCATGAGACCCTCGGGAGGTGGAAGGGTTCCCAGTCCCCCCTCCCCACTTTCCAGAGGCTGGGGGCCCAGCCAGGGCCCTGGTCCCGCCTTCAGTGACCGTTCGAGAAGGCTACCTGCTCAAGCGCAAGGAGGAGCCGGCCGGCCTGGCCACACGCTTTGCCTTCAAGAAGCGCTACTTCCGGCTCAGCGGGGAGACGCTCTCCTACTCCAAGAGTCCTGAGTGGCAGGTGGGGCTCCAGCCCGCGGGGGAGGGACTGCCGCAGTGGCCTCCCTCACAGAGCTGCTTCTTTGTACCCAGGGCGATACTGAAGCCCGGGAGGGGACAAAAACTTGCCCAAGGTCCCAAGGCAGCTTAGTAAACTCAAATTCTAAGGCCAGGCTCTGCTTATACCTGTGGGTCCAGGTGGGCACAGAACATGGACAGGCAAACACCTACAGGCACCATCAGACAGTCTTCAGCATGTGCGCCCGTGGTGGCTGGGACGTACCTGCCCAGATGTGGACACTCCCAGGGCATGGACAATGCTTAGCCCTCCTCAGCTGTTTCCAGGCAGGTCTCTGCCTGCATACCATGCATGCTAAGTCGCTTTGGTCGTGTCTGACTCTTTTGTTAGCCTATGGACTGTAGCCCGCCAGGCTCTTCTGTCCATGGGATGCTCCAGGCAAGAATACTGGAGTGGGTTGCCATGCCCTCCTCCAGGGGATCTTCTTGACCCAGGGATCAAATCTGAGTCTCTCGTGTTTCCTGCATTGGCAAGCATGTTCTTTACTACTAACCCCACCTGGGAAGCCCAAAGGGGATGCTGTGGCTGCATGGGCTGGGAATTGAACCTGGGCCTCCCGCGTGGCAGGCGAGAATTCTACCATTGAACTACCCATGCACCTACGTACCATAGAGGCTCATAGAAAATTGGATCTCTCACCCAGAGGTACATGCACTCATATCCAGGCATTCATTCACCCATCCATTCACCCATCAAGCACTTATCGAGTACCTACTGTGTACCATGCAGTGTTCTAGTGCTGGAGATAGTGCAATAAACAAAACATGAACTCCCTGCTCTCATGGGGCTGCCATTCAAGTCTAGCTCAAACTGAGACATCCACAGGGATCTACCCATTTCTGTGTCTGCACACCCGCAAATCATAAAAGCTATCACTGGAGATGGTGCCTACACTTATTCTTTCTACTTTATCAGCAGAGTGTAGATTCTAGAGTTCAACTCCCTGGGTTCCAATTCTGGCTGCACCAGCTGAGTGGCCTCTGAAGGGTCCTTTATTCTCTTATGCCTCAGTTTTCTCATCTGTAAATTGGGAGGAATGATAGACCCAGCCTCAGAAATCTGTTATCATGATAAAATAAGTTGGTAAATGTAGAGCGCTTAGAACCACCTCCCAAGTGCAGTAGCAGGGGTTGCCATGGTGATGGTGATGATGATGATGGAAACTGAAGCCCAGAGAAGTTATCACTGAGAGAGTGTCCCGCCAAGACTGCGGGACTCACAGGGCCGCCAAGTGGACACACACATAGGACAGATGCACAAAGTTGACTGTCCCCATGCCGGAACACACCGCCGGATGCACACACCGACAGGAAAGCTGTCCCTGAGCCCGGTCTCCCTGGCCCGGGTCCCTAGCCCGCCCTGCAGCGACAGCCCTCTCTCCCAGATGCGCTCCTCCATCCCCGTGTCGCACATCCGAGCCGTGGAGCGCGTGGATGAGGGCGCCTTCCAGCTGCCGCACGTGATGCAGGTGGTGACGCAGGACGGCGCAGGGGCGCTGCACACCACCTACCTCCAGTGCAAGGTGAGGCGCCGCAGGATGGGGGAGGAGCAGAGGGCGCCTTTGGGGTCCCAACCCATCTCTGACTGCCCCTCCATCTCCCCGCAGAATGTGAACGAGCTCAACCAATGGGTGTCGGCCCTGCGCAAGGCCAGCGCCCCCAACCCGGACAAGCTGGCTTCCTGCCACCCCGGTGCCTTCCGCAGCGGGCACTGGACCTGCTGTCTCCAGGCCGAGCGCTCAGGTGAGGAGGCAGGACGGACTCAGGCTCCGCCCTCCACACCTGTCAATCACAGGGTGTCCCACCTCTGCCTGGGCTGCCTTGCAACCTTGAGCGAGTTACTTAACCTCTCTCTGCCTTAATCTCCTCAAGTGTAAAATGGGCCTGATGATAATGTCCACCTTGTAGGGTTGCTGTGAGGATTAAATAAATTGATATATGCAAAGCAATTAGAACACTGCCTGGCACACAGATACTTTTTTTCAAGTGCCTACCAAATGCCAGGCTTGTTCTCAGGAAAATAAATCAATAATCAGACAATTGTAATACAGTGTTACAAGTGCCAAGATGAGGCTTTTGAGACGCCAGTGAACCCCTCTGGCCCAGCCCCAGGGTAGGACAGCAAGAAGGGCTTCCTGGAGGAGGTGCGGCTCAAGTATGACCTGTGAGAAGAGTAAGAGTTAAGTAGTGAAGTTGGAGAAAGGGACAGAGGAAGAAAGAGTGTTTCAGGCAGAGCAAAGACAGGCTGAAGGATGGAGAAAGGTCTGTGTGGCTGAGCCCAGAGTGTGGGAGGGGCATGGAGAGAAGCGAGGCTATTCCTCTGTTGGGTGAAGGCAGAGGCAGTGTGGCTGGAAGGAAGCAGTAGGTTTGAAGAGTGGTTTTAGAAGTCTAAGGGGCCGGGCTTGGCCATGGAGGCTTCTGGAAGGGGAATGCAAAGTTACAGATGATGCCGCTCTGTCGCCCCAGCTTCCGGCTGCAGCCGCACGCACTCAGCCGTCACCCTGGGGGACTGGAGTGACCCACTGGATCCTGATGCTGAGACCCAGATGGTGTATCGGCAGCTGCTTCTGGGGCGGGACCGGCTCAGGTGGGTCCCATCCTGCAACCCACTTTGCTGTGTCCTCCCCATGATCACCGGTTCATTCTTCCCATGTGCCTCTGATGAGCTTCTGGGTGGGGCCAGGCTCTAGGGGAGGACTGTTTTCATCTTCAGGTGGGCTCTAATACGGAACTAGATCTTGGGACCTTTTTTCTCTTTTTTCCACTTTGGCCATGCCACATGGCATGTAGGGTCTTAGTTCCCTGACCAGGGATTGAACCCTTGCCCCCAACATTGGAAGCTGAGTCTTAACCACTGGGCTGCTAGGGAAGTTCCATGGATCTTGAGATCCTCTGATACCCAGGACTATCAAGACACAGGCATCAAGTGTGGATGTGTGTCCCCAGCCCCTCTTGGCTGATCTCAGGATCACTGTAACTCAGCGGTGGAGATTTGTTCCAGCTTACAGTGTGAGTCCTGAAGCTGGCCTGTCTGGTTTCAAGTTCTGGACTGGCTGTGTGACCTTGGGCGAGTTGCTTACCTTCTCTGTACCTCAGTTTTCTCAAGTCTGGAAAATTAGGGTACCAACAGTCCTTACCTCATGGGGTTGTCCTGAGGACCGAATGAGCTCATACAGGTAAAGCACTTTGTAAGTGCCTGGACACACAGTTAGCTTTCTGTATAATAAAAACATAAAATATAATACCCTTTCTAATAATAAAGGGTAACAATTATTATTATGCTGTGCAACCTTAGGCAAGTTACTTTACGTCTCTCTGTCTCAGCGATCATCTGTGTCACGGAGCCACTAGTCAGTATCCACCTGTGTTTTGTGCTAATTAAACGAGTTTATACATGGAACAGGCTTGGAATAGCATCAGACACTCTATGTTTGCTGTGGTGATGATGATGGTGATGATGATGGTTTAGTGGGAACCTGTAATGTCTCCTTCAACCAGCAGAATCTCTGGGTTCGAGAGCAGGATTGGGACTCAGGGACCAGCCTGGTTTTCTCCCTCTTAACTTTCAGGATGAAATTCCTGGAGGATTCCAACATGCATACATCTCTGGAGGCAGACCCAGAGCAGGGCTCCAGGGCGATGGAAGGTAAGGGGGTAAGGAAATCCCTTTTCTTTCTCTTCTTTGGTACCTCCCACAACTTGCCAAGGACCTCCCACCCCAGTCTCTGTGCCCCCTTCCCCCCACCCCACCCCACTCTCCTGCTTGCAATCCACCAGCAGGTCAGGGAGCTGCACATGCAGTTCTGGCACATCTTAGGATTCTCGGGGCACCAGGCAAATCCAAGAGCCTGAGGAAGCCACTGGATCTGAACTAGAGCAGCCTGCCGTGGGCTGGCTGAAACCCTATGGCCTCCTCTTCTCTCTCCCAGGGGCCTGTACTGATGCCGGGGCTCGGCAGAGGGAGGCAGCTGCCCACCTGCTGGAGGTGCTCGCAAACCTGGACCAAGCCCATGAGGAGTTCCAGCAGCAGGAGCAGGGGAAAGTGGTTTGGGGCCCCCTGAGGCCCTGAGGGGATGCCAGAATCAGCCTGGGAGGAGGAGGAAGGAGCCAGTGGGCCCTTCTCAGTATCCCCTGGCCCAGGAATCTCCTCGTGGCTGTTCTGTACCTCACTGATGATGTGGCTTGCAGGTTCCTAGAGATATCCTAATCCCATGTGTCCTAAGCCCAGAACCCAGGCATGGAACTCTTTTGGCTGGGAACCAGCCTTGCACTGAATGAATCTCACCCTCTGGGCTGAGGCAGACTGGAATGGATGGAATAAGGACTCTGACTTATTGGCTCAGCTTGAGGTCTCTGCTTCACTGGACTGGCCTCTACCCACACTGACAAGGGGCAGCCTGGCCCTGAGCTGCTAGATACAGCTGTACCCGAATCCCTGGTGCCCATGTGGCCTTGCTGCCCCAAACAGGCACTAAAATGGGCTCAACCCTTCCTATTTTCATGTCTGCCAATCCCTGTAACCTCATCGATCCTCCTGAACCCTGTCCTTAGCCAAGAATCCTAACCACAAGCTTCTACAATCAGGAGCCCTCAGGAATAACTGAGGCCGGGAGCCCAGTATGCCTGACTCAGACCCTTGAAGCCTGAGAGACCTCAGGCCAGGCTCTTTCCTTCTCTTTGAGCCCCAGTTTACCCTGTATAAAATGAGTGAGTGAGTTGATATGTGTGATTTTCAAAATGGGTTCCATGGTGATAGTGTAGCAAACAGGGAGGGATTTCTCAGACTGTGGTCCACAGCCCATCCTCATGGTATCTACTGGAAATGCAGCTTCCTGGATCAACTGAATCAGAATCTGAGGGAGCATGAGGGCAGGCATCGGGGCGTTCAGCATGTTCCACAGGTGATGTGGACTGCACGTGAGATTTGAGGATCACGGGGCTGGGCGATTTTATATTGAGGTGAGCTTTTGTTTGAGAATGAATCACAGAAGGTAAAATGTTGGGGAATACCCAACTGGCAGGATTGGAAGGGTCTCCAAATATTCATTTCCCGTTTTGTGTAACTAGAGGGTAGGACAGAAATGTTATGGACCAGGAAAGATGCGGTGCTATCCCAAAGGTGCCCAGCAGGGGTCGCCTGGAGCTGCAGCATCCACTACAGCCTCCCAGCCTCCTGGGATGTGAGAGGTTGATAGGAGACTTGCTGCAGGTCCGGGACAGGTTCTTGTCTTCCCTAGACAGAACCTGGTCCTCCTCCCCGAGGGCAGAGACTGGGGTTCTGAGGTTCCCGCAAGCCATTACGGCGTCTCCCAGCTCCCCCATTGTTTCCTGGAGGCTCCCAGCCTGAGCTCCTCATTCCTAGTCATTGAACCCGGGAGCTGCGTGCATTGCCTTGCACCTGTGCTGGAGAACAGAACTTCAACTTGTACACTCTTGGGGACTAGGATTGGGAGGGTCTGCCTCCGCCACCATCACACCCCCAGCCCACCCCAGGACAGGAGAAGCGTGGGGACCCTCCATCTCCAGCTGCCCGAGCCTGACAGGGACAGTGGGCCTGGGTCACCATTTTGTTGCAAGCTCCCCCATGCGATGGACTGAAGTCCCCCAGAAACAGAGCCACCCACGCCCCTTCTTGACAGGAAAAGACCCAGTTGAGGAGGAGAAAGGCCATTTATTTCTCCACCCACAGTGGGACTGGTAGATTTTCAAAAGAGCAATCGCTGGCGTCCCTTTAAATCTTGGCTGACTTCCACCATGGCAGCCAATCAACAGAGGCGGAGCTGGTGAGTTGCCTGAGCAACAGGCCCCTGGTTGGCCGAGGCTATCAGCCACCCCACTGCCCACTCCCGAGGAAAGGGAAATGGACTCTCTGCTGTCTCGTCTGCTTTTTAAACCTGCTGGCCTACGCCAGGCCTCCTCGTCTCGCTCCTGAAGCCAGAAGCTCCAGCCTTTGGATCTTGATGTTGGGAGTGATTTGGTGGAGAGAATGGGGTGGGGAGGAAAGGAAAACAGTGCCTTTATCAGGGACAGACATGAGGCTTGGGGATGGGAGGGGAGGAGGTCAGGGTCCCAGAAGGATGAAGAGACATAAGCACAAAATAAGATTCTTCTAGTCTGTCTCCCTGGCCTGCCCTTTTGCAAAACTGCTGAATAATCTGGGGGCTTCCACCCCGTGGGCCATTAGTGGGTGGCAGAGATGGGGGGAGACTGAGCTTCCCAAGTGCCCCCTTTTCTCCTGGAGCCCCATCGGGCCCCCAGGTGCTAGCCCTGAGCCCCTGCTCGCAGACAAGCCTGTGCAGATGCGATAGAGACACAGATGGGAATCCACATGGGGTATCACAGGGGTCTTTCTGTCTCTTCCCCCCCAGTCTGGGGGTAAGTAGAGGCACGTGGGTGTGCGTGCATGTGTTCAACAGGACACGTGTGTTTGTGTGAGGGGGTGGGGCTCTGTCTTTTTAGTAGGGAGGTTGCTATGTTTTCCGGTACACTCCTGCGACCCTCTCAAAGAGCTAGGGTCCAAGCCGGCTGGCCTGTCATCCTCCCATCATCCCAACTGCTACCAGCCAAATCCCCGGAACGCTCCTGGCTCCTCCTGCAGGCTCCTCCCCAGCCCTGAACCTGGGCCGCCAGGACACACCCGGCGGGCGGAGGGAGGCATGTGCCGGACCAGGGGCAAAGCAGGAGGGAAGGTGGGCAGCCTCGGGCCTCAGGCCTTGGCCACAGCCTCAGACACACCCTGGGCTGTGAGCTCCGCCAGCACGTTGTCTAGGTAGCTAGCGTCCGGGTAGCCATGGCCCGTCAGGTTGGATCCAAACTCGGTCTTGTGGTGGATCTCATTCCACACCACGGTGTCCGACTCGCCTGTGGTGTTGGACGTCCCTATGGTGAAGATGAGTCTCCGTTCCCAGGCGGTGATGAGCAACCTCAGCACCTGGAGGGCGGGGCAATGGGCGGGGCAAATGGGGGCGGAGCGAGCAAGGGTCACAGGCTCCCAGCAGGCCCAGGGCTTGAGTCCCTTCCCGTCCACCCTGAGGTTACCCTGCAAGATTCTCCGTGGCCACCCAGCGTGCTCACTTCCTTCCCTAGACTGACTCCCACTCTGAGCTCCCCCAGTAAAACCACTTTCCATGTTACCAGCCTATTTCTTTGGGGTGAAGAGTCTCAAACTGATGACTCTCAGCTGCGTTTGGTTTGAACCTCACGCTGTATTAAATAGCAGCTTCGTTCCTTCGTTGGCAGTATTCAAAAACCTGAAGGTTTCACGTGAAAATCAGAATTTCTGGCTTCTTTTGAAAAACAAAAAGTAAAAGCCGACACTCTTCTGGTGCGGCAGTGAAGAGTCTAGACTGCTTGGGTCAAATCCAGGCTCCTGTGTGACCTCGCTGTGTGACCTTGGACAAATGACTTGCCCTCGCTGAGGCTTTGTTTATCTCTAAAATGGTGTTAAGACCCTGACCTCAGTGGGCTGGTAAATGAAATGAGGTTTTGAGGCCACTGGCAGGGCTAGACACATGCACACTAGATGGCTATGCTCAGTGCTGGGGCCCTGGCCTGCTCCCACACCCCCTTGCCCTCGCGGCACCCACCTTCCGGCCCTTCTCGTTGTTGGGCAGATAGCAGTGGCGTGGGAAGCCTCTTGCAGTGAACTTCTTGCCTGGGTTGGGGTGCTCAGGGCCCTGTGGGGAGGGGCAGCAGGGGGCTTGAACCTCAGATGGCAGTGGGGAACCACTGGCGAGTTCAAAGTCAGGGGCCTGAGGGCTCACCTGGATGCCAGTGGGGATGTCGTAGACGATGCGGATGGTCTGGGTGTCAGCGAAACCGGGCAGCGAGTGAGGGATGAGGTGAAACTCCATCTTCCCGGGGGGCTGAGTGCCCGTCTTCTCCCCATAGATGGCCTTGCAGGTGGGGCACTGCAGGCTGCCATCCTGGGGCGGGGGGAGGGGGCGTGGCTGTGAGGTTCCCAGGCGTCTGGGCCCCTCCCCAGCCCTCCTGCCGGTCCCCGCCCCCCCACCCCACCCCCCGCCAGCCCACCTTGTTGCCATTGGAGTACATGGCCACGAGGCACAGCAGGTGGTACATGTGGCCACAGCGGCCCAGGCGGCCCACGAGCTCAGGTCGCACACCCTTGTGCCGAAGCACGCCCTCGTAGCCAGAGGCCGTGACCAGCCGCTCCATGCAGATGGTGCAGTCCTGGGGTCAGGGGGAGCACAGAGGTGAAACTGAGGACTGGGGCGGGCAGGACACCCCCAGGTCAGCACTGCCCCTCAGCAGGGGCCAGACCCTCATCCCACCCCCAAGGGCAGCAGGCCGCCCCCTCTCTGGCCTCCATCTGTCAAAGGGAGGGGACACCCCCAGGTACTGAATTCAGGTGCATGGCAGAGGAAGAGATGGCTCCCGCACACCCCCTCCAGATAGATTCAAGGCTTAACTATCGAAAACAAAGCTTAAATACATTTGTTGGGAAAATATGGGTAAAAATAAGATGCAAAAACTGTTGATTATCAAAAGGTTGATAAATGTGATTCTGTTAAACGTAGCATTGGTGTTTATCAAAAGATGCTGTAAAGACAATGAGAAGGCAAACCCACAAACTGGAAGAAGAAGCTGTAACACATAGAACCACCAAGGAGTGGGGTGCTGGGATCTCCATCTCTGGAGGGGAGGCTGCCTGCCCTCCGCCCCCCTCCTTTCACAGGGGCTCACCTCATCAGGTGGATTCTTCACCTTCTGCATGTACCTTCGAACCACATCTTCAGGGTTCTTACCTGCAAGGACAGCATTGGGCTAGGCTTGACTGTACCCCGAGTCTAGCCCTGAGGGCATGGCTCAGGACAGGGTCAGTCAGAGGGATAGGGTCAGAAGCTGTAACAGCTGGTGGGAGTCACATGTCAAGGGTTGCTTGAGGTTTTATGTAATCGGAGTTGGTGGTGGATGGGACCAGAAGAGCTCAGATGGGTTAGCAGGGTTAGTTCAGGGGTCAGGGTCTAGCTTAGGAGGCCTACTCTTCTTCAGGTGCTTCTTCTTGGTCTTGCGGCACACCCCGGGCACGCCAGGCACGGGCTTGACGTCGCTCTTGCTCACCGGCGGTGGGTGCAGGATGGGCTTGGGGGCCCGGGTCAGGCAGACGGGCAGCCCCGCGGCGCAGAGCAGGATCCCAGTCATCCCTGCGGGACGCCAGGCAGCGATAGTCAGGGGGCGGGGTGCTCCTCTAGGCCCTGTCCACCCTGCTCTCCCATCGTCGAGAGGACCCTTAGGGTCTCTCCCCAGACTCCGCCCACCTGGTACACCCAGGAATCCTCGGATGGGTGGATGGGCTGTGTCCCATGGACGGTGCCCACTCAGCCCTACCCAAAGTTGAAGCCAAGTTGGGAGCCTTCTGCAGGCCCCGCCCACCCCAGAGTTATAGCCCAATGGTAGGGGATGTGCCCTCTGGGCCACGCCCACCAAGGGGCGGGGTCAGTGGGCAGACTGGTGGGGCTGCCACCTTGTGGGCCCCGCCCTTCTTTTCCATCCTTGACTGGACCTCACCTGCCAGGGCCGGGTGGACTGGCCCTGTACCATTCAAGTTCTTCACTGGGAGCGCGGGGACCCTGAGGGGAGAAGAGAAGAGACTGTAGCTTCCCCAGACCAGATCAGGGGACCCTGCTTTGCCTTCTGTCTCTGGCTCATGGGCATGCTCTGATTCCTTTCTGCCTGTCCCACTCATCTAGAATGACCACTAGAGAATTCCATTCCTACTCTGACAACCTTCTGTCAATATTATGGGGTAGGGTGTGGCCAGGACCTCTGCCCTCTGTGATAATGGAATGAGCCCCTAGACTTAGTACTGACCCTCTCCCACTCCACAGCTGACCTCTTCCCAGGTGAGAGAAGTTGGCTCCCAACTGTTCCTTTTCATTGACTATTGTGTCTGAAACCCAACTATTCATGACTTAGCCAAACTTCTTTCAAAGTTTGCTGATACCCATAAAAGTTCTGGGAAAGAAGGATTTAGGGATCACCAAGGATCCACTTCACTGTCTCCCACTAGGACATTCACAACATATGTGAACGTATTAAAGGCTCTGATAAGTCCTGCATAAGGAAACAGGTTAGCTGTGGCTAATCCAGGTTTTCCAGAGACATTGGATGATGAACATTTTTCCCCCTCTGGAGTATTTAATGATGTCAGTTCTGGTGACTAAGGCATTATCCCCTCTTCAAATGAAAAGGTCTCAGGAAAATGTAGCTTGCCTCCCATCTTTGCTCTTCCTTCTGAAGAGATCTAGCTTTTGGAATCATTCAGAGCTGCTTTCATATTTTAGCTTAACCATTAAGCAGCTGGATGGGAAGGAAATGGCAACCCACTCCAGTACTCTTGCCTAGAAAATCCCATGACAGAGAAGCCTGGCAGGCTACAATCCATGGGGTCACAAAGAGTTGGACACGACTGAGCAACTTCACTTCAACACATGGCACATCACCACATCTCTTATAAATGTGTTTTTACTCATCAGTTAAATGGGCATAATATGGCACCTCCCTTTCAAAAAGATCCCTTGGAGAAAGGAATGGCTACCCAATGCCTTGGGGATTCCATGGGCAGAAGAGCCTGATGGGCTACAGTCTATGGGGTCACAAAGAGTCGGACACAACTAAGCAACTAACACCTTCACTTTTTTTTTTTCATGGCACTTCCCTTACATATGCTATGGAGAGTCAGTGAAATTCTACATGTAAAAGGCTGAGCACATTTCCTAGTACCTACTACAGGCTCATAGTTTCAACCATCATCACTACCATTATTGGGCTTCCCAGGTGGTGCTAGTGGTAATGAACTGGCCTGCCAACACAGGAGACACAAGAGAAATGGGTTCGATCTCTGGGTTGGGAAGATCCCCTGGAGGGGGGCATGGCAACCCACTCGAGTATTCTTGCCTGAACTGCAAAGAGGTCAAACCAGTCAATCCTCAAGGAAATCAATCCTGAATATTCATTGGAAGGACTGATGCTGAAGTTCCAATACTTTGGCTACCTGATGTGAAGAGCTGACTCATGAGAAAAGACCTTGATGCTAAGAAAGATTGAAGGCAGGAGGATAAGGGGACAGCAGAGGACGAGATGGTTGGATGGCATCACCAACTCCATGGACGTGAGCTTGAGCAAGCTCTGGGAGATGGTGAAGGTCAGGGAAGCCTGGCATGCTGCAGTCCATGGGGTCACAAAGAGTCAGACACAACTGAGCGACTGAACACCAAGCACCATCATATCACCATCACTGTGTAATCCTGGTTAATCTCACCTCTCTTGCACCTCAGCCCACTAAGTATAACTTCTCTCCATCTTGGAGAGGAAATGCTCCTCTGTCTCCTGTGCTCCTCAGTCTCCTTGTCTGTAAAATGGGGATGATACCTGTCAGGAGGGTTGAAGGAGGAGGCCAGCTGTGATCTGTACAATGTGCCCACCTGGGTCCAGACTTCAGGGTTTAGCTTTGTGGGTGAACTGGTATCTTGCTGTGGATGGGCATGAAATCGGATGGGGAAGTTTTGATAAGGAGGAGTGTCATGAAAGCCAGGGACCAGGGACTTCCCTGGTGGTCCAGTGGTTAAGATTCCATACTCTCAACTCAGGAGTCCTGGGTTTGATCCCTGGTCATGGAAGTAGAAGGAAGATTTCGCATGTGGCAACAAAGATTTCCCATGCCGCAAGTAAGACCTGACACAGCCAGAAAAAAAAAAAAAAGCCAGGGGCAGCGTGAAGGCCTGGGGTTGCTGCAGGAGGCAGTGAAGAAAGGGGTGGGGGCAGGGACAGCTGGGGAAGGCGCTGCAGCCCCCTCGGCAAGCCTGCTCAGGTCTGACCCGGTCAGTGCTGTTGGACACCTGCCCCGCAGGCGCAGTCGGCACCAGCGAGCTGGGGGGAAGGTGTCTTTAAGCCAATGGTACACTTGGCAGGTTTGCGTGCTGCTCCAGTGGGTCCAGAAACACACACACACACATACCCCTCGGAACGTGGGGCTATATATGCATGCACATGTATAGGGAACACGCCAAGTGCAATAGAACACAGATTCATGCATACATGAAAAACACTGCACAGACCAGCACACACCCCTGCAAACATGCCCCCGGCTCCACGTACACACACACTCCAGGGATCACATGGCAGTTGCACGCACACACAAATGTGCCCACAACCCAGGAGGCCCCCTTCCTGTGTAGAGATACAGACACAGATACACGTATACTTGGGGAATGTGCCACACACTCTTGCACGCAAACACACACACGCACACACACACCAGGGAATACACACCATGCACACATACACACAGACACACCTCAGGGAACACACTCCACGAACACACACAGGTTTAGACATAGACACACACTTCTACACAGGGAACACCACAGAAGCATGGACACACACACTCCAGGGAGCACAGCGCCCAGAGAGACACCCACGTGCAGACACCACAAAGACATTCAATTGGACAGGAGAAGCCGGGTGGGACAGACTGGTCCACACACTCTGACCTACACTCCCCCACACTGACATGCAGACACTTGGCTGGGAGGCTCCCGCTTTACACACACAGTAACACACACATGCACGGCACACAGCCCTCATTTTGTGCCTGCCCAGCGTCACAGGCTTATACCCAGTCAGCCAGGATACCCCTCCCAGACCCCTCCCCCGAGGAGGGTGGCAGCATCTGGAGCAGACATCGGGGTCCCCAAACACTCTGGTGACCTGGAATCACTGAACACAGCTCCTGAGGGAGGTGCAACAGAGGAGAGGTACCATGGGGCCCCCAGGCTTGGGTGGCTGAGGTGTGACAGGGGAAAGATGCTGTGCCTCAGTCTCCCCATGTGTAATGGGAATAGAGCCTTGCAAAGGTTCAATGGGATAAAACATGCAAAGCTCATAGTCTGTTGCAGGGGTGAGAGTGGGCATGTCTTGAGTTTCTTCTCCTTGCAGGCTTCCAGGACCCAGGGGATGGGGGATCCATCTCCCCCTTCCTGGCATCTGTCATAATCCTCCAGGACATCCCTGCAGGGAGACCATCACCCTAATCTCATCCCCCCTACATCCTCTTCTTTTGTTGTTCTTGGCCACACTGCACAGCATGTGGAATCTTAGTTCCTTGACCAGGGATTGAACCCACACCACCTGCACAGTGGGAGCACAGAGTCTTGTCCACTGGACCAACAGGGAAGTCCCCCAATCCTCTTATAAGATAGCATGCAGGCACCTCTGGCTTCTCCTCTTTCTGCCATCCTTTGAAACACTTCCATTGTATCATTGCTGTTAATATTATTGGCATGCAGATCTTAGTTCCCTGACCAGGGATTGAACCTATGTCCCTTGAAGTAGAAGTGTGGAGTCCTAAGCACTGGACAGCCAGGGAATTCCTTAAAACACTTGCAGTATAGACACACTGTTAAGGTCCTCTCTATAGCCAGGGCTTCCCCATCCCCTTCTTCCTTCCTTCCTATCTCATGAGAAAACAATCCTTCCTTCTCCCCAGGGCTATCTGTAAAATGGGTGGAAAGAAAAATATTTAGCATGAGGACCACCACTTCTTGTCTCCTACCTGTGGCAGACATCACTAATCCATGACAGCACTCTCTCGAGACAAGTAGAATCATCAGCACAGATTTCTAGGGAGCCTCTACCAACCAGCAAGGACAGTTGGCTACCTCAGGTCTATATGAAGCACAAAGTCTGGTCTGGCTCATGACACTGGTCATGCTGAGCCTTTGGCCAGGGAGTTAGGGAGGGGACTGAGGGGACCCCAGAAAGGAACTATTTTAGATCTTAGCAGTCCTCCAATCTCTGGCACCCTTTAAAAGCCACAGAGCTCTGGGTTACAAAAATGTCTTGCTCCTGGGAGGAGGGTTGTGAGTAAGGTGTGATGGTGGGGCTGTTTTGTATTTACCCATCGGCAAGCTGGGGGACAGTCCCCAGGTGGCCCCCAGCCTCTCTCAATCTGCAGGCCCCCTGCGAGAACCCAGGGTAGCAAGGTTCCCACGATGCCGGAGCGTGGGAACCACCCAGGCCCCCTTTTGATGTGGGATGCACTGTTTCCTCCCAGTCAGTCAGTGAGAACATCCTCCTGCCCTGGACAGGAGACCGCTGCCCGCAGGCCTCCGGGAAGGAGGGGCGGGCTTTCGCCCTTGGCTCCGCCCTCCCCCCCTCCCCCGCCTCAACGCCCCCACATGGCAAAGGGTCAGAGGAACCCTGCAGGCCTGAAACCTGTTCTGACCAGAAGCTGTCCCAGGGCAGGGCTGGGTCCGATGCCTTGCCCATCTCTGTGCCAGATCCCGTTCCTCTATCCTCAGTCCTTCCTGGCTCTTACCTTGCTAAGAGTAAAGTCCAGCCTCTTTACTGCATGGGCTTTCCGGGTGGCGCTCGTGGTAAAGAACCCGCCTGCCAATGCAGGAGAAATAAGAGATGTATTTTTGATCCCTGGGTCAGGAAGATACCCTGGAGGAAGGCACGGCAACCCATTCCAGTATTCTTGCCTGGAGAATCCCCATGGACAGAGGAACCTGGCAGGCTATGATCCATAGGGTGCCATAGAGTGGGACATGACTGAGCGACTTAGCAC